CCCTCTCGCCCTCCACCTTCACGTCCCCCACCCTTACGCCGTCCCTCTGGCCCCACACAGCACGGTGTACGAGCAGCTGGGGCGGGTGGGGGACGTGGAGGAGCAGATGGAGTGCCGGCAGCGCGCCGAGGAGATGGAGCCCAGCATCCGCTTCTGCCGCTACAAGATGGGCGCCCACGCCCCCAACGCCGACTCCTCCGCTGCCGCCCACGCTGCCTCCAACCTGCTCGACCTCTCCGCGCACGAGGGCCCCGGGGCTGACCTGCTGCAGTCGAAGCTCGAGGTGCGGTGGCCGCTGGGCTGGGAGGCGAAGCTGGGAGGACGTGCAGGGGCATTGACTCTCTCACCTCTTTCATGCAGTCCTCCTTATCTTATCCATGTATCGTTGCTGGTTGGCCCTTGTTCTCTCTCCTCTCTTCTGTCTTTCTCTCTCTCGTTACCCCATCGGTCTTTGCACTCTCTTCTCTCGTTCTCCCAACTCCACCTGTTCCGCTGCTGCGTGCCGCACTCTTGTTCACTCTCAATTGCTCTGCCGGTCCGTGCAGGCGGTGATGGAGGAAGCGCGGTCGCGCGAGGCGGCGAACCTGGCGGAGCTGGACTGGCTGGGACGCAAGTACTCCGTGCTCAACGCCAAAACCCGTGTTTGCATCCTCAAAGGTGCCCTTGGGCTTGCAGGGGAAGAGGGAGGGGATGGGAGGGAGCTGGTGGGGTGGTGGAAGGGTGGATGGGTGGGAGAGGTGGGAGTGGGGGAAGTGTTCGGCTCTGCTGACTTGTCTATCCGTTGTGACCCGTTGACTGCTGATGACCCGGTGACTGATAATGACCCGTTGACTGCTGATGACCCGTTGACTGATAATGACCCGTTGACTGATAATGACCCGTTGACTGCTGATGACCCGTTGACTCTTGCTGACCCGTTGACCGCTGATGACCTGTTGACTATTGCTGACCCTTTGACCCCAACAGCGCAGCAGTTGGAGGCCGAGGTGGCATCTGCTGACGTGGCGAACGACCGGCGGCTGAACCTGTACGACAAGATCTTTGTGGCGTACCACGATGCCAAGCGGCTCATTCGAGACGACATGGTACGAGCTGCTGATATGAGATGTCATGGTATGAGCTATTGAAAACGAGATGATGGGGCATGATATGAGCCATGCTAAGAGATGGGGGTGTAAGATGAGCCATGGGTATGAGATGGGGCATGGTATGAGATGGGGCATGGTATGAGATGGGGCATGGTATGAGATGGGGCATGGTATGAGATGGGGCATGGTATGAGATGGGGCATGGTATGAGATGGGGCATGGTATGAGATGGGGCATGGTATGAGATGGGGCATGGTATGAGATGGGGCATGGTATGAGCTATGGATCTGAAATGAGGCTGGTATGCTTGTCACAATTCAGAAGCACCAGATTTACCTGTCATGCTGCTCTCACTAGTTCACTTGAATGCAGCGGTTGGGATACTTGTGAGAATTCTCAAAAATACCCTGCGACCTCTAAGTGGCTGCGACTCATACACCCCTCCCCACCCTCCTGCCCTTACGCTCCTATCCATGACCTCCCTTTTCCCCCATTCCCCACGCCCTCGGGTAGCAGTGGGCCGGGCGGAGAACGTGAAGGAGCAGCTGGCGGCGCTGCAGTGCACCGTCGACCGCAACCTGCTGCTCCTCCCCTCCCCCCCTTCTCCCCTTCCCAGGTGGCAGCGGGAGGGGCGGAGGACGTGAAAGAGCAGCTGGCAGTGCTGGAGAGGGCGGTGTCGTGCCTGGTGCTGCAGCGCACCATCGACCGCAACCTGCTGCTCGTTGCTGGTGCCAAGGCGCGGCTTGAGAGGCAGCAACAGCAGCAAGGGGGCGCGCAGGGGGGGCAGCAGGGGCAGGGCAAGGGGGCGGGCGGAGGAGGTGAGGGGAAGAAGGGGAAGCGGGAGAAGGGGAGGGAGGAGAAGGAGCGGGAGAAGCCTGCGAGGCCGGAGGACCTTATACGGCTCTATGACACCCTGCTGCAGGTATGTGGGGGGTGGGTGTTGGTGACAGTGCTGTGCGGTTCCGTGTGCGCACGCAGAGCTGAGTGCTTACAAACCTACCTGCCTAACTGACTAGTCTTGATTCTAGTTAGTATGCTTACAAAAACCTATCTCGTGTTGCGTCCACTACAAGTCAATGCCCATCGCATCACTCTGATTTCCCAAGGCATGGCCCATCTCAACCCCCCTTCGCTCGATGCATCTGTGCGGTGCCCTCTGTGTATGGCATGACGTGGGATTCTCTCACCAAGTGCAGAACGCATCAGACCTGGGGGACCTGGCAGCATCAGGCAGGGAAGCCCGTGCGGAGGAGGAGGCACTGCAAGCACAGCTCGAGGCCAACAAAGCCTGCTACCAGGCCTGCAGGTATGGAATGGCTACTATCAAGCCTGCAGGTATGGGATGTTTGCTACCAGACCTGCAGGTATGTGGATGGTTGCCACCAGGCCTGCAGGTATGGGATGGCTGCTATGGGGCCTGCATCTAGGGGATGGCTAATACCGTTCCTGCAAGTACGGCCTCATCTCTTTCTTTCACCCCTCAAACCCATCCTTGTCTCTTAAATTCTCCTTTCCAATCCACCTTCTTTCTTCCGTTGTCTGCTCACGCTCTCTCCTCCCTCTCTGCAACCCCTCTTCCCTCTTTTCCCCCTTTATTCCCCGGTATTCCGCCCCTGCCACCCCAGGGCGTTCTACGTGGCGCTGGCGTACCAGGCAGCAGGCAAGGACGCGGAGGCCTATGTGGTGTTTGGCAGGGCGGCAGCAGATGCAGAGCAGGCTGCCAAGGGACTTCAGCAGCTGCAGGAGGGGTCGGGAGCACAGGGAGGAAAAGGCAAGAGCAAGGGCAAGGGCAAAGATAAGGTGCGATAGTGTGGAGTTACTATGCTGGGTATCTTTTCCTCTGGTCTATGTCAGCATCAAGAATGCCCACACCAGCTTGGTGTTTGTCACCACTCGGCATGCTGTGTGGCCCCCGCCTCACCCCATCCTTGCACCCGTGCACGCATTCATCCACACATGCACACACGCACGCATCCATGCACCCATGCATGCAGGCATCAGAGCACACGGCAGAGGAGAGGGAGGTGGAGGAGGTGGTGGTGCGCAGCAAGGCGCAGCGGTGTGCCATCCATGCGCGCGCCACTCTCGACGCCATCAGGGCCAAGGACCCCTCCGCCCTTGAGAAGGGCGTGGCTGAGCTCTCCCTGCGCGCCAAGGACAAGGTCCGTGCCTGGCTGTGTGTCTCTTGTTGATTAGGCTCATCCCAAAGTTTTCCTATCGGCTACTATCCAACCTTCTTGTTCTACTGCTCAGATTTTTGTTCGTGTTTTGTGCCGTGATGTGTCCAGCAGCAGGTAGATGCCAAATACATGACTGAGAACCTGAACGAGTTCGTGAGTGCAGTCACCGTGGACTCTACTCCAGGCTCCAAGCTCGTTCCCCACATTGCGCGAGTGCCACCACCCTTCCAAGCAGTGCCGTGCCGGCCCATTGTTCTCGACACCGCTCTCAATGCGATTAATTTCCCGGATCTTGCGGGCCGGGCCAAGAAGGAAGGCAAGAAGGCAGGCGGTCTCTTTAGCTCTTTCTGGGGTGGTAGCCGATCATAATATATATGGGAAAAAGGATGTGGTTAGACATTAGGGGAAGCAGGTAGGCACCATTAGTAGGTCGCCAGAACCTTGCAGCCAGCTGCAACACTTGATGTGGCTTACTGCGGTTCCACACTGATTCAGGACAGAATGCTTTACACGGATTCTCGTATACTTGGACGGCTGAAATATATTTGGGCTTCCCACTCGAAACAGGGAAACGCAGCTCTCAATAACGAATATTCTGCTCGAAGCTTCTATCACACGCCACTAGAGACACGAATTGGAATGTTCATGTTTTTGACACGTGTTATCGGAAGACTGCTCCACGCCGAAATCAGTCCCAATGATGTGGAGAAGGTGCTGCACCCTCATTCGTCGTGCCTACGATTTCTCATTGAAGCCGTCGATTTACAATCGATCCACGAGTGTGGTCAGGCTTTGGTAAATGCCGACGCCCAGCCTCGAGGAGCGCCACGAAGGGAACCCGAGATTTGAGCTGGTGTATGCTTTTCTGTTGGTGTGCACCCTCAGATTCTTGCTTTTCCACCTCCTACATAGCTCCTGTTTCTCATTCATCCGCACACTGACACCGTGCAAAACCAAGATCTTGCCTTTCTCATTCTTGTGTTTGGCTGCTTAGCACACGCATACATACCAGCGCGGTTGATATCCAAGTAGCGTCTATGGCATCCGCAGTGTCTAGCATCCCATCGGCCCAGGCCGCTGCCGTCACAAATGCCGTGTCCGCATCTTCACGCAAGTCTGCATCAACGAATGCTGTCTCGTTCACATCCACCTTCCTTCACTCGTCAAAGCCGATCACGTCCGTCCGTTCTTGCAAGCCATGCGTTTCTCGCAAGGGAGTTTCCGTACGTGCCATGGTGGCTTCGACCGACGCTGTTTCCTTCTCAGCCAAGGAGATGGAGCGAGTTGCAGCGAAGGAGGCTCTCCTTCTCGCGGTAAGGTCATAAGCCGTCAAATGGTAACTTGCGAGCTTGGGGATCACATAACATGCATGGACAGCATTATTGGGTTTGAACCTGTATTTTGTTGCAAAGCTCCCGTTCTGAAGGGAAGGGTCTAGGATTTCATGTGTCCGTGCTGCTGCGTCTGTCTGACTTCGTAGCTACTGTATCGTTCGTAACAGGTGAAGGACGCGGGTGGCGCGGAGGCCCTTAGCACAGGCAAAGGCAATGCGGCTGGGAAGATTGAGGTTAGCGAGAAGTTGCTGCAGCTGGAACGACTCAACCCCACTCCCCGACCCACTACGTAAGTTTCATTGTTCACAACTGTGAATGTAACAAATATTTTAGACGAACGTACTCGTGCGTAGCTTCACCGTGTCTGGATTCACTGTTCTTACGGCCGCAGGTCGCCTCTTTTGGAAGGCACGTGGGACATCGTGTGGGCGGCCACTCGCAACCCAGGTGTCATCGCCACCCGAGTGCTGCTCAAGTAAGCCTCATGCTACTCTTTGGTCTGTTTGTGTTCCTGAATCCGCTGTTTGCCTCATCAGTTTATGTATCTGGTCCATTTTCACGAGAATGCCACTGGTTATAAAACTTCGTCAATAATCTCATCTCGTTCCCACCTATTGCATTTTGATGCTCCCCTCAGGCGGTTTCCCACGCAAGTGGCGTCACTGGAGTCACTGCAAGTGCAGATCTTGGAGGGCTCCACCAAAGTGACGGCTGGCCTGAAGTTCCTCACCGCGGTAAGGGAGCATTGTGTGCAGCGACAATGTGGCTAACATGCGGTTCTGCGGACCAAAATGTATTTTTGGAACAAATTTAGCTGTTTGGAGTATATGCGCTGTATGTTGCCTCTCAGTCTGAGATGGGTGGCCATTATCTCGTAGGCTCGTGCTTGAATGATGGAAGAGTCAAGCGGGCATGATGTGAGGTGGGGCACAATGTGTGCACCCGGACTTCAATCCTTCTTTTTTGTTACTTTTGTTTCTTACCAAGTATCCCTCCTCCTTATCGTGTCCCTGCTGCCATCAGGCTGAGACTTCAATCACGGTGACAACTCGTCTTGCCGTCGAAGGCCCTGTCAGGTAAACCTATCAATCTGCCTGACGCGTGGTTTCTTACTAGTGCCTGTGGAGCCTTCCCCTCATTCCAGTAATTTAGTTATTGACATCCGGCTGGTACTGCTTGCTGTAACAGAATCAAGGAAGAGTACGCCGAAGCTGTGGTGGCTACCCCTGTGGTGCCGGATGGCAGCGTCCCTTCAGCCCTCAAAGGTGTCTTTGATCAGCTAGCTTCTGCTAGTCAATCACTCCCTGCTGCTCTGAAGGACTCTCTCTCCTCGGGCCTCAAGCTCCCTCTCAGTAAGTGCTTCACCTGCTCCATCTTTTCAGTGGTTGATTACACCAGTGGAGTTGTGGCCCGTGGTGTTGTTGTCATATCTTTTACCTCCTAGGCATCCAGGTGGAGTGCTTACGAGTTTTTTTCTACTACACACTGCTCCCCTTCCAGATGGCAGATATCAGAGGGAGCTGATTATTTCGTACCTTGATGATGAGATACTGGTAAGATATTACATTGTTGTGATTCGTGAACATCAGCATTGATTTAATTTTACTGTTTTCTGGGTATGTCAGCTACCTGCATGGCACGTGCTGCTACTGGATTAAGGCATCTTTGTGTTTTATCTCCTGTACAGGTGGTTCGAGACCAAGCTGGGCTGGCTGATGTGTTGGTGCGAGCCACAAGTGCTACCACCACCCCCCCTCTTGGGGATGAGTCTGAAATTGATGAGCCAACTGAATGAGTTAAACAGAAGAAAGGCATATGCCTGTACCGTATATGCCACCGCTTGTGTTGTGTTGCATGTAAGCCTAAAGTTGTTTAGTTTTCTCTCCAGGGGAATAGAGATGAAAAGTACGGGACGTTAGTGAATGTAATCGATTTCAGATTGTAAATGAGTGCAAGAATCTGTTTTGTTCAATCTGTATGACAAGTGAATGGAGGACGTGGTAAAGGCAATTTTCAGCATGTGAACACACATTTCAATACTGATTCCGTTGGGAGCACTATCTGGTTGAAGCGGGTATGAAATCTGTTCGGCTCAACGCCTCATTCTCCGTCACGTCCCAACCAAAGAGCGTGCCGACGAAAAGGCTCCGATTTCTGCGAGGCCCCAATTCGCTCGCACCCCCAAACGGTTACATCGGGAGATGTGTTCGGGGAGGATTCGCGGAGTGCGCCTCGCCTCCCAGGCCTTTTCCACCCCCATTCTACAGGAAGCCGAAATTGTCCAACCAGCTGTGAGACATTTCTCAAACCATAATCAATCACCCCCCCCGCATCGCGAATCCCCGCTGCCCAGCGGTATTTGCGCGGAGTTCAGCCTTGGAATTTTCGGAGAGCGCGTCTTTGGCCCGTCATGATCGAGAGGCGCTTCATCTCAGTACAAGAGACTTCAGTAGTAGCCGTTCCCAAGCAGACATAGTTTGTACCGTCTTGTCCTGTCAGACTTCATTCATCATTGCTCCAACGAAGACGCGCATCCGAGTCGGCGAGCTGTGGCCTTTCTACATTTGTCTCTCACTGGTGATCGCACTGTTCCCTTTTTGGAACGAGTAGTTTAGTAGCTCAGTTATTGCGACATTTGAGGGTAGAAATCACCAAATAAGTAACGATAAGTAAGATAGCTTCAATCTAACGATCGTGTTTTGCGCATCAACTGTGACTGCTTACGTGGTAGGTCATATATACTTCCAAATAGCCACCGCTGGCAGCAGCACCAGCAGCGTCGACCTCTCAGTTCCCAATGGACGATGCGCGCATCAGCATCGTCGCGGGGTTCATCGCAGGTGTCGCAGAGGTCCTCGTGGGGTATCCGTTCGACACGGTGAAGACACGAATGCAGTCGCAGGATCACGCGGAGTCGCCACTGTTTCCAGCTCACCGAGACAGCAACAGCCATGGCTGCTCGGGTCAACACCGAGCGGCTAACAATCAGCATTACAGCTCTCCGTGGAGCTGCGCGGTCGCGACGTACAGAGCCGAAGGAATTGGTGGCTTCTACCGCGGTATTGCGGCTCCGATGCTACAAGTAAGCCCGAAATCGCCATTCATTGTGCTCGTGTCCGTCCGCCTATGCTCGGGCCCTCGTCGCCGGAATGCAGGACTGAATGCAGCTCTGTCAACCCGAATCATCCCTGAGCCAAAATTCTCGTTTGACACGTTTCGATCGTGCAGGAAGCGGTGGGTGTGGCTCTTCTTTTCGGGACGCGTGATTGGCTCCGAACGGCAATAGGTGCTGATATCAGCAGACCAGGGCTATTTATCCTAGCCTGCTCCATCATCGGCCTGTTAGAGTCTCTGATATACTGCCCCCTAGATCATCTAAAGACCCGCATTCAGGTCCGCGGACAACGACTGAAGCACCAAATACTGCATTCGTCTACCGCTCCCTCTCTCCCGCCTCTGGATTCCTCCAAGCATTCGTCTAACAATACGAAGACTCCCTTGACTAGCGCTGGGTCGATAGCAGGGATGGGACACGAAGGAGCATGCGTATCACTCTCGCTAACGCCGGCCACGGCGTACTGCATAGGCGTAGGTCCGGGTCTGTTGGCGTCGAAGGAATCGCACGGGGACTTACCCCCTCTAGGCGTGACCATGGGCGTGGTGATGGGGAAGGACATGCACGGCGAGCTGATGGGTATCTTCAGCGCTGCTCGCAGCGTTATCCGGGCGAGGGGAGTTCTGGGATTGTACCTGGGGTTCGTCCTCCAGGCGTGCAAGGAGATGCTGGGCAACGTCGCCTTGTTCGCCACATATGATGTCGCTCTCGCGCTCTTCAGTGGCACCAGTCTCGTGCCTGGGGGGGGTGCGCATGGAGCACACATGCACGCCGGCCAATCGTGGATGGCGATCTGGCCTGCAGGAAGCCTTGCGGGAATGGCCTATTATCTGGTAAGCACATGTGAGGAAGGAGGTGAAGAAAATGAGAATGCATTCAACCCTCCAGACTTGTCATCATACAGAGAATTTAAAACATCTTTTGAATGTCCATTCTGCCCCTCCTTTCCAGATTGGCTTCCCTTTTGACACGATCAAGACTCGCCTACAGACTGACTCCCTCACGCACCCTCGCTATCGCGGCTCCCTGCACTGCGCATGGAACGTGCTGCGCCATGAGGCATCGTTCTCCGACCTCTATAGAGGCGTCTCTGCTTGCCTCGCTCGAGCCATTCCGGGTTGTGCTGTGCAATTTTTTGTCTTCGAGGCTGCTCACCAGTTTATCTCGCAGCTGGGCTCGCACATAGTCCCCAGTATACAGCCCGACAGCAGACTAGGACTAGGTGGCTTCGCCTCTGTTGGAGATACAATAGGAGTGGGCCAGGAGAAGTTGTGGGACTTGCTTGCTGGGTGGAGTTAATAGGCAGTGGTTATGCTATAGACTTTGCATGCTAGGTGCACCTTGGTGCACCCTTATTTGCCGGAATAATCTTTAAATCAATACACCGCTCAGGTCAGGCTGCTTACATTAGAGGATAATTCGGAACATACCAGAAGCTTTATTGTGTTAGTATCAGCAGCATCAAGTGCACTAATGGAATCTACAATGTACGGACAAAACAAAATAATGAACTAATTAACATGTATAATTCAGTGCATCTCACTGTCCGTTTGAGATGCATCAAAGCATTGTACACCCTCTTTCGCGCTAGTAGAGCATCTGGTTGCAGAACGTACACGAGTTGTAGAACGTCACCACGTTCAAAACAGTCTTGTCACCAGCTGTACAAGCACAACGCGAAGAATGCGGTTCGGTAAGGTAATGCACGTTACCTTACCGAACCGCATATTAGGTTGGGTGAGGTTTACAGCGATAACGGAAATATTACGCCCTCGAGCCAGTTTGTCACGTGGTTCGGCTTTTCCCCCCAGGTTGCTCGGAACGTTTTGTGGCACCTGACCGCATGAGACAACTACTGTAGCGACGAGTCGCGCTAGGTGAAAAGGTTGAGAAATAGGGTGTATTGCATATGTTTCAGGAGGAAGAACACAACAGTGGGTTTCAATTTGCGGGTGCATCTCACTGTATCTCTGTGGTCGTCGGGTCACAAGTAAATTTCTACGGCTGCCCAAAGGAATCTTTGGTGTGCGACACAGCAATCTTTGTTCCTCACAGAAGTTTACGAGCGGAACCGACAAATGATGGCTGTAAACTTGCAGTCGCGCTGGACTGATGACGTGTAGGTCTCCTGCTGGTGGATGACCCTATCAGAGTTGTGTGCTAGCTGCTGGCTGACGTGCCTCGTCTTGGCCCTGCGGTAGACAATCCATGCAACTGGGATTTCTTGCCATCCAGACTATTCGTCTGTCTCTTCCGTTCGTGAGTTCCTTCCATTCTACGTTCTGCCAGATTGTTCTGGTTCTTGGTGTGCCCCTGCGAGAATGTTCCACCACAATTTGAAATTGCAGGTTGAAAGAGGCGGGGCTCAGATATGTAAACACAAGTAATGAAAATGCATTCCTCTCTCGCCTTACTTTTCACACCGTGTACCTGAGGCATTCTCACACTCATGCTGTTCAGTGAAATGCACCACATGCCAAGAGGAAGTGCTTGGCAAGAAACTTCTTTATGATTACCTGCCCGCGTATTTCGTCACGTGTGGTGATAGTTGGTCTGGAATGGAAGCGAAGAGAAACGACCTGATTTTCACTTGCCCGAAGTTACCCTGCCTCGATACAAGTGCTTCTGTTCTATTTTACTGTACACAAACTCGTTAACTAACCCATACAGCTGGCCTTCCCCACCCACCCCGCATGTCCCTTCCAGTCCCTCCCACCTCCCCCCGCGCCTGGTTTGCTCGAGGCCTCATTCAAGCCCAGCTGTCGGCCATGGAAACAGACTTCCATCATAATTCAACAGACCTCCTTGGAAACGCCAATGGCTGTTCATCAAGTCATGACGCCTGCCGCTGTAACTTGTTCTCCCTCACCCCTCGCGGCTTGCTGCTTTTTCTGGCTTCTTGCTGAATCTCAGCCTAGCCCCTCAGAGCCAATGACGATCGCTCGTCCTGGACTGTTACATATGCATTCCTCCCCTCGACTTCCCCCTAAACCACGTAAATGTATGCTGAGGATCTGATTCACTGACTGTAATTCAAGCTCAACCTCGAAGTTGGAGGAAACCCCAGCCCGACTTACGCCTTCGCTGTTGTGTGCTTTATTGGATGTCAAAATCCCAAGATCTCTCATATCCCGGTAGATGTGAAATTGGTCTGACGTCGCGCTTTTTCATACACCGTGTGATACGTAGTAACTAAAACGACGTTTCCGAGCGCCGGACGCTTTCTGATAATCCGACCGTTTCATTTCATATTTTAGATATCATGGATCTCATCGCATGTCGAACTCGCTATTTGTAGTACCAGCAATTTGATAGTGGATTTGAGCGACGTCAACTCCTTGGAGTGAACTTCAGTTCGAACGTGTTTACTGACATTCAGTAATTCTACTAATTCCTTGCGCGTCTAATATTGCGGTAGAGTAATCATGGAGTCTCAAGGCAATGCACCCGGATCGTTCGTACCGTCACACAGCCCCCTTATGCTTCCGCCGTCGTCGTCGGCCACAGCCAGCACTTTCGGCTCCGAACGTGTTAATTCCGCGTCAATGGAGGATGGGTTCCGGGGTAGTGGCAGCGGGGGTGATGCCGATGGCGGGGAGGACGAGCCGAGTCCGGCGTCCGGTGGGGTTCAACTCGAACGCGGAGCAGAGCCGGGGATAATAATGCTCGGCGGTCATCGCACGCGACCTAATTGGACGCCTCAGGTTGTGTTTTGTAGCCATCTTGAATGCAGAAATTTCCGTCATGCCGTTCATAGACTCATGTCGGTCTCAAACCTGATTCATGGGCGTGAGCTAAATACATGTCTTTCTTCCCTTTTAACAGGAGGATTTAATTCTTCTGCAGCACGTGGCGAAGCACGGGACCCGCAACTGGGGGTCGCTTCAGATCGGTGGTTTGCTGCCGATTCGCGATCAGAAGGCCTGCTGCAACCGATTTATCCTTCTGAAAAAGTGCGACGATTAATTTCATATAGTGTTTGCTCTCTCAGTTTTCATATAAGGAACTTTCGAAGTTTGGGTGAAGAGTAGATAAGTCGTTATAGTAGTAGTTTTTGAAGTACACCCACGAATTTCTCGAGGAATTGCTTCTATCGCGGATAACGTTATCCATTTCCCAGATTTCCAACCCCCGCAGCTTATCCTCATCTTTCTGCGTGTGCGTTTGCTCCCCCCAATCCGCGCGTTCCAGGCGTTGCATCAAGGACAAGCGCAGTCTGTCGCAGCTACTGCAGCGCGCAAAAGACGCCGTCATTCATGACGCAGCCAGGAATGTCAACGCAGCCGCAGCTGGAGCCGCCGGTTCTTCGTTTGTTGTCGGAGCCGCGCAAGCATCATCCTTCCACCATGCTTCTTCGGGATCGCCGCATGTCGCGGGTGGTTTCGCCGGATCGTCCTCAGCCCTTCACGCTGCTGCCGCGGCGCTCAACCCCCTTGAGGTGCTGCCGGTACGCCTTTACACGCTGGATCCTATTTTTCTTTTCGTGTCAACCGTCCCTTCCTTTCGTCGTTTTCTTATGCCGTCTTTAACTACCTTCCTGCGATGAAGGCGATCGTCCGTCGTTTCCTTCTTGTGCTATTGATTGCAGAAAGATGGTATTCTTAGTCGTGACGTGCCGGCTCTCACATGGAAAGCTATCGGCTGAACATCACTTGATAAGCATAACTGACGTTTTCCCCTACGGACTGTCTTGATTTTTTTCAGGCTCTAACTTCGCCCAGCATCGGCATCAACAGCCAATCACGGGTCTCCTTCAAAGGGGGTGGCGTCTTAGCTGACATTAGCCGGCCGTTTGTTCCTTCTGTACCGTCAACGTCAGCAGCGACGTCGCTTCCCGAAAATGTCCTCCGTGCGACACTGCTGCGCTCAGCGTTGTCGTCGGCAGCAGTGGGTCCTCCAGACGCCTCCCAGCCACTGCAGCAGCAGCTGTTGCAGCAGCAGTTACTGCAGCAGCACTTGCTACAGCAGCAGCACCAACAGCAACAGCAGCAGCAGCATAGCTTTTCGCAACAGAGCGTGCAGCAGCAGTTGTTACAGCAGCAAGCAGCGCTGCGCCAGCTCGCTATGCAGCAGCAGCAGCAGCAGCAGCATCGGCTGCAGGAGGCACAATCAGCTGCACTGATCCATCAGAAGCAGCTATTCTCGCTGTCCAGCTTCAACCAGGGATCCTTACAAGGGCTGGAGGGTCGGCAAGAGGCTCAGATGCAAGTGCAAGTGCAGATGCAAGCACAAGTGCAAATGCAGGCTGAGACTCGACTGTCCATGTTTCAGGGCCAGGCAAGAGAACAGCAGCAGCCACAGCTGCAGTCCGTGCAGCAGGCTCAACAGCAGCAGCAGGTTCAGGAGTTTTCTCAGAGTCTTCCGGTGGACGGGTTGCAGCTGGATGAGGCGCAACTGGCGTGGCTGAAGCAGGCGCACATAGAGGCCCAGCGGTTCACGCTCTCTCAAGTGCACGCGAGTAAAGGGGAAGGGCAGGGGCAGGGGGGACCAGCAGGGAGGGGGTAATAATGGTGAGGACGTGGGAAGGGGAGGGCAGGGTGCAGGTCATCAAAGAAGTGAATGTGCGAACGATGGGAGGGGGGACGTGGCACAGCAGGAAGAGTCGGGACTGCAAGGCGTGGATGCACACAAGCAGCAGCAGTTGCAGCAGCAGCAGCAGGGTGCGAGCATGTCCATGCAGCTAGCCAACTTGAGGTGAGCTCTTGTGCAGCTGAAATCCTATGCTTGAAATGCGCTTCCACCCACCCTCACTTCCCTGACATTCGCCTGCCCTTCGCCTGCCCGTCGCCTTCCCTTCCTTCCATTGCAGGTCGCAGGTGGGTCTCCAGCCGCAGTCGCTGCTCGCCCAAGCGCTCAAGCTCTCCCACCAGCCTTCCTTCGCAGCCGTCTCCAATCTCCCACTCTTCTCTAATTTCCGCTCTGCCGCCGCCCCTCACTCCTCCGCGCAACCCACCGAGCCCCATGCATCATCACCCCACGCAGCTACCCTGTCCTCTACCAGCACTGTAGCTGCTGCGGCCGCTGCAGCACCAGCAGGTGCTACAGTGTCAGTGCCCAACTCATCTAGCCCTGCCTGGAGCGAGCCGGCGTTCCCCACGGTGCAGTCTGGGGAGGTGACGGACCGCTTCTCTTCCTTCAGCGATTCGCAGTTCGCCTCTGCTGCTGAAATCGGTGCCACTTCGTCCACCGCTGCTGCTGGCATGATGGCGGCTGCTGCACCTGCAGGTCTAAATGCTGGTCACAGTGGTGCTGTTGGTAGTGGTTCTAGCGGTTTCGGTGGTAGTAATGTTGGTGGTGGCTTGAGCACTACTATTCCTGGGGGCAATGACAGTGGGAAACAAGGGGGCTCATTCACCACTGTGCTCCGTATGTCCTCAGCTGCTCTTCAGCACCAGCAACAGCAGCAGATGCTGCTGCGACAGCAGTGGAGTGGGCAGGCGGGTGGAGGGCAAGAGAGTGCAGCAGCCAGTGCAGAGGCCTCTGTGCATGTGTGGAGGCCACGGGAAGACACGAGCTGGTTTCAGCAGCTGGGGCAGTCAGGAGCACTTGAGAAGCTTGCTGGAGGCATCGGTGGAGAGGGTGGAGAGGCTGAAACGTCTGCAGCAGCACCGGCTGCAGGAGGGGGAGCAGGAGCAGAAAATCACGTGTTTGAAGGGAGGGCTAGTGGGGAACGGGGAGGAGGAATGCTATTGCTGGCAGAGCCTGCGTCTGCTGATGTCAGCAGACTTGACGTACAGAGAGCATCAGCAGCTTCAGTCTGATGGCAAGAGGCATGACCATCTTGCGGATAGAAGCAATCCCCCTGTGTTGCAGGAGCAGCAGCAGAATGAGGCGCGTGGTGTGACTCATCAACTTGGCCAACATGCTTCCATGCTGGGTTTGCAGCAATCCCGCAGACCAGATGCAATCTTGGAAGCCCTCACATCGGGGTCACAGTCATGGGTGGGTCAGGCGGGGCGGTGGGTGGATGAGCATCAAATGCAGTGGAGGGCGCAGAAGGCAGGGGAAAATGCAGCGATGGGTGTGGGAATGGCTCAGGCGGAGCAAAATGCTACACATGCGGATAATCTGGCTGAGGCGGAAATCCTTCGAGCATTGCACGCAGAGATGGAGGTGGGTGTCTTTTCCCCAGGTTCGTTCTTGTTTGTTTGTTTTTGTCTTGGGTACCTGAATTTTTTTTTGTGCTGTTTTGCCTCTCGTTTCTGATGTTTTGCAGTCGTTGAGCGCTCTAATGGACTCTTCATCAGCACCGACCAGTTGAGGACTAAAGAGTCGTCGGATTGGTTGTGTGACGTGTGGCTGGATACCATGTACCATAGCTGCAGTGTTGGCGTTGCAATGATGTTAGCTTTGACGAATTGAAAGTAGCCAAATCTGTGTACATATGCTGGAGCCCACCGTGGGTCTTGGTGCTCCAATTCAGTAATTTGCTGACATAAAGTAACCCAATCTACTGTTTTGGTGATTTCAACCAAGTTGTTCAACAATGTATGACCTTTCATAACAAATCTGAACACAGTTTTATCACGCCTCACACTCTGACACACGATCTTGCTATTCGCGCGCTGTGCTATGGACGGCGTGCTTGCCAACACACCGATTGCACCCTTCAAAGAGAGCCTTTGATTTCCGACCTGAATAGGGATTCCCTTATTTCTGTCTTACTCCCAAATTCAGTGCCAGCCTGCCTGTTTCTAGTAGTTCAGTGGTGCTCCTTGCGACATCGCTTCGCCTACCTTTACCTTTTCCTGTACCTTTACCTTGCGACATCACTTCCGCTTGGCCTGTTAATCATATTATTCATGGCTCCTCCCCTGACGTCGTGTCAAGAACGTTAGGTCTATCGCTTACTCGGCGGAGCTGTTTGTAGATTCTGTGCGAGTAGCAGTAGTGAGAGTAGTTATTAGGGCGTCGGGGGTTATTGGAAACTAGGGTTATATTGGGGGTATGGACTTCTTTAAAGCAGTACTGTTTCAGGACGATGAGGAGGAAGAGGCGACTCCTGAGACTGAAGAGGTTGAGGGTGACAATAATGAAGGCGAAGGCGAAAAGCCCGCAGACGAAACTGCTGAAGGGGTGCGTAGATTCTTTTCTAGTTTCCGCATAGTAAATTCCCATATGCGACGACATTAAGGCTGATACATTGATACTTTCTAGTCTCAGTAGATAAAACGCACTTACCACTGTAGTTCTAATGTTTTTAATGTTTTTGTTCACATTCCAGGGTGAGATTGAAGAGGAGGAGGAGACAGAGGAAGACCAGCCTTCAGCCTTGTGAGTACTCAGCTAACTTGTTTGGTCCGAGCCGGATGTCCCTATGTTTTTTTAGAATTCTCAAAAAACATACTTGTCTGGTCCAAGCCGGATGTCCCTACGGAAAAGCACTCGGTAGCACGGCTTTGTCGCCGTTTTCGAATTTCCTTCGTGTGCAACCTTAGTTTGCTTGCGGCGTCTTTGACGCTATGTTTCATTGACACGTGTCGTCCCCACATGCCATCCACTCAACAGCGGTACCTGGAATCTCGGCAGTCTGCTACAAACAATCGCCACCAAAGTAAGCCTTCCTCTACCGCGTTTCATTCCCAAGCCTCGTCTAACTCGAAATTTTCCTGCTTCCATGTGCTCATCACGCCGTTTGGCCTTCGCTGAACCGCGGGTGATTCTTCTGCATGCATGATTGTTCCTCGCCATGACAGCGTCTGCTGTCTTTCTACTTGTCCTTCCAAACCGCGTCCCTGCAACCCGTGACTGCTGTGCCTGTTGTGCCTTCCATGCCTACCATGTGTGCTGTGCCTGCCATGCGTGCCATGCGTGCCATGCCTGCCATGCGGGCCATGCCTGCCATGCGTGCCATGCGTGCCATGCGTGCCATGCCTGCCATGCGTACCATGCGTGCCATGCCTGCCATGCGTGCCATGCGTGCCATGCCTGCCATGCGTGCCATGCCTGCCATGCCTGCCATGCGTGCCATGCATGCCATGTGTGCCATGCGTGCTACATACATGTGAGAGCAGTCGGAGGAGGTGTTGCGGGAGTACAAGCAGGAGCTGCAGGAGTTCGGCGAGGGGCTCAAGAAGGAGACGGAGGAGCTCGTGGAAACCACTGCCACAACTGTCAGCGACCTGCCTTCCTCGCTCGAGTCCGGCGCCCAAGCGGCTCAGGTGAGAGCTGCGAAGTCGTGGCTGCTGCTTTGGTATCCTCCAGATGTGGTCCGACATGTTATCGCTTTTTTTGCACTGCCAGCTTGTTTCCTTGTCATTGTTCCGTCCACGTTGCATCCCTCCCTCTCCCCCTCCCTCCCTCCCTCCCTCCCTCCCTCCCTCCCTCCCTCCCTCCCTCCCTCCCTCCCTCCCTCCCCCCCTCCCTCCCTCCCTCCCTCCCTCCCTCCCTCCCTCCCTCCCTCCCTCCCTCCCTCCCTCCCTCCCTCCCTCCCCCCCTTCCCCTTCCTTTTTCCCTCCTTCCCTTCCTTTGCTTTCCCTCTTTCTCTCTCTTCTTCCTTCCGCTCTCCCTCCGTCCCTCCCTCCTTCGTTCCTCTCCCCCTCCCTCCCTCCTTCCCTTCTTGCTCCCTCTTCCTTCCACTCTCCCCCCGTCCCTTTTTTCTTTTCCTCATTGTCTCTCTATCTCCCCCCGTCATCCCCACCCGACCCGCCCATCCCCATTGCGTGGATCCCTCTCGTGGTTGCCATGAAGAGCTCACTGGAGGGTGTGGGCCACACAATCGAGGAGTTCGGTTCGTCTTTATGGAAAGGGTGAGTGTGGTGCGTGTGAATGCACGTGCAGTGCAAGACAAGGACTGGAAGTGACTCCTGACAATGTTCACTTCACTTGGCCTCTTGGCTTGTGTAAGAGATGTACATGGTTCTTTGCCTCTGCATCAGGCGCAGTTGCATTCGGTCCAAGGCTCTATGCAACAATTTTGGAGTAAAGACCACTTTTTGCGCCCACCCCACCTGCTGATCAATCGCCGTCCCTCCCTCGCCCCTCCCCACACCCCCATCCCTCTCTCGTTGTGCATGGCAGCACGACGGAGATTCTGGCATCAGTGAAGGAGGCGGTGGCGATGGTGGAGGAGGAGGTCGCCGCCAACGCTGCTGGCGCCCGCCCCCGCGCGCCCTCTGCTGCTGCTGGACTCGCCTCTGCCATCCCCAGAGGGTGAGAAAAAGGGGGAGGAAGGGAAGAGGTGATGGGGAGGAGGGGAAGGGGAGTGGGAAGGAGGATTGGATAGAGAGGGAGAAAGGGGAGTGGGGAAAGGAGTGAGCTAAAGGGGGAGGATGCGAGTGGCAGTAGGAACGTGGTGTTTGGAACTGTAGTTGTATTTACTCCCTTGGTGGGCACAGCACTCGTTTGTTGACCTTCCATTCCAGCAACGGCCTGGCTGCCCTCTCTGCTGCATCCGGCCTGCATCAGCCCCTAAACTTGTTTTCTCATGATGTCACCTGTCCTCGCCCCTGCTTCGTGTGTGCATGACAACTGGCCTTCTTCTTTTCGTTGTGGTCTGCGTTGCTGCTGCTGCTGCTGCTGCTGCCAATGGAAGCAGCAAGTACAGCCGCTATGAAGCACTGGTGAGCACTCAGCCGCAACCATCCCTCTCTCTCTGCTACGACCTGCCTGCCCTGGCCTCCCATCTTCTTCCCCCAGGCTGATGGTCGTTTTCACTGCTCCCTGGTCCCACCCCGTCACCAAGTTTTGTCATCTCTTTCCATCTTCTTGCCTCCCCCTACCTTCTCATTCCGTTACACTCTTCCCCCCCCAACCCCTCTTCACACCTCGTCATCCCTCCGTGCCGTGCGTGCAGGTGAGCGCCATGCAGAGGGACAGCAGCACGTACTGTGATGAGCCAGAGGACACTGAGGACTTTGCCAAGTGGATTGAAACCTTTGACCTCAAGAACAGGTGTGCAGTGCACGCACCCACCCACCCACCCGTTCATGCAACGTAACCTTCCATTATGCCTAGTGCTTCTGGCCTCCGTTCAGGCGACACCTGTGAGTCTTCCCGTTCTCGGGGATGAAGGGTGTGAATAGCGTTGCTGTGCTGCTGTCACTCGCGATGGCATCGCACGGTCGCTTATCTCTTGCTTGGTGATGAAGGTGTAGCGTATCACTTGCTGACGTGTGTGTGGGGTGGGGGGGGTGCAACAGGGAGGCAGACGTGGAGGCAGTGCTCAAGGACAACGCGTTCATGCAGGAGCTGCAGTCACGCATTGGTGAGTCGTGACATGTGCTTCGTGCTGTCCTGCCTCGTTCGTCTTCCGTCTTGTCATGAGCGGTCTCTTGTCTGTTTGTATTCTCATGCGTCGACCTCTCTCACTATTCCATCCTGGTCCCCCATGTGCACGGCAGTGCCGTTGATAGTGGAGAGGGAGACGTTCTGGACGCGCTACTTCTACCGCCTCTACCGCCTGCAGCAGGCCGAGGACGCCCGCGCTGACCTCGTCAAGAGTGAGCCCTCTGGATGCCGCGACACATCCCATGCGTGCAGTGCCTGTTTCAAATGCCTGGTGATGCTGTACATAACCCCGAGTTACATGAGTAGAGCACCCTGTGTCAAGAGCAAAGTGCAAAGTGTACCCTCTGACGTGCTTATTGTTTTGGAAATATGAGGTGCCTCCAGGTGCATCTCGCTCACATGGGCCCACCCACCGTCTTGCGCTCCTGCCCCTGCGTGGCTGCAGGGGCGACGACATCAGAGGAGGAGGACCTGAGCTGGGACGTGGACGTCGAGCAGCCATTGAATCACCCTCTGCCATGTGCCCACTGTCTTGCTCTCCTGCCCCTGCGTGGCTGCAGGAGCGACGACATCAGAGGAGGAGGACCTGAGCTGGGATGTGGATGACGATGCAGACGACGCTCAGAGCAGCCCTGCTGCTGCCCACCATGGCGCCGCGGGTAAAAGTGATGCTGCTGATGCGGATGCAGGTGCCGCTGGAGTTTCTGCAGCGGATGATGCTGGTGCTCCTGCTGGTGGTGGTGGTGGTGCTGCTGGCGCTGTTGATGGCAATGGCCCTGCTGCCGCCTCGCCTTCTGATAAACCAGAGGAGGCAACGGCGAAGGTCCCAGCGGAGGAAGAAGCAGCTGCTGGTGAGGATGCTACTGCAAGTGCTGGAAGTGAATCAGCTATTAACAGGGATGGTTTATCAGATGATCTCAGATTAGCTACTTCTCTTGAAATGACACGTTCTGTCCTTTGGTTACGCTTTGGGCTCATAGTGTTGTGCTTGGCTTCGGTGCGCAGGGATGGAGAATAGGGCAAAGAGGAGTGGGGAAGCAAAAGACGCAGAAGCAGAGGAGGGTGAGAAGGAGAGAGATGCATCGAGTCTAGCTGCGACATCACTGCAACCAGGTGACTCTAGAAACGATCCTGCCCTCTCATTCACCCGCGACTCAGCTTGGTAAAATGGCTTATTACTCTGTGGTAACTGTGTGAGGTTGGGGATGCTTCTGAGCGTGGAGTTGACGGGTGCTACCCTACAATGACTTGTACAAACTCATTCTGTCATTCAATGGTAATCGGCTCCTGTGTGCACGCGTCTGGTAGGGAGTGTGCCTCTATCGGAGGTGAAGGTCCCCCGCCTGGAGGATGCCGGGCTGGAAGACACGGCACTGCCTCTATCCGACATCCAGGTTGGTGTCTCTAGCGTCGCTGGGCGGGCTGTGTTGTTTCTTGCGCGTGCAAGGCCGCCAGGAAGTGTCTGCTGGCAGGCTGCAGCTGATAGTGGAGGTGTTTAATTGGTTCCTCGTGGTTGCGTCGGTGCTGTATGCATGCATGTGCTGCTTGGGGCCGGCCACAACGGGGACAACGATGAATTTGATGCGACAACTGTGCAGGCTGCGTTTGAGATTGCAGCGAGAGAAAGGCCAACGGGTAAGCATGGAGAATCGAGACCTCTTCCTGCACCACAGCTGCTCTCCTGATGCCATTTATTGGTTGCGTCCCATGGGGTGCACAATACAGTGTCACACGGTGGGCATATTTGTGTATTTTTCACATCTCGTCTTTTCCTTGTGTATGTTCCCTGCAGAACCAAGTAATCGCAGCAACAGCAGTGACAGCTCAGCAGGCAGTGAGTGGCAAGTTGTGTCTAAAGATGATGCTTCTCAGGAGGACGGATTGAAGGCATCACAACCCTCTGCTCCTGCTCTTACAACAGCAGCTGAGGCGGCTGCCGCTCCTGCTTCTGACGTGTCAGAACCTGCAGCTCTGGTCTCCCAGCCTGCTGCTGAGCCTACAGTTGCCAGCGGTTCAAATACAACAAGTGCGGACGGCGAAGGGGCGAAGGAAGAAGGAAACGAGAAAAAGAATGAGGCAGAGGCGAGAAGGGCAAGAAGGAAGGTGGAGATGGAGAGGAGGATGAGGTAAGCCAGGGATGAGTTGTCTTTGTGGAACATGCATTGAGCAAGGGGGGGTTGTGAGTGGGCACGAAGGATGCATCGTGTGGTTGTTGAAGGTAAGCACTGGGTTTGTTCATTATACGCCTATCCATGCTGTGTGTGTGCCAATTGGTGAAAATCTTCCTAGTTCCCTTTGGCGCTTTGCGTGCACTTGGCTTGCAGGATTGGGGTGAATGGGAGTGAGGAGCGCCAGGAACCAAGGATTTGTATGAATACATAGTGCTATTGTTTTACTCAACGAGGATGTAGGCTCTTATCTTGCGGTATGATGGCTAATTCTGTTAGAATTTGACCCTGTTGGAATTCTGAGATCATGTGTACGTTATGAATCGAAGCAGTGTACTACGGACGATTTGTATATGCTGGTTCCAGGTAAAACCTCTAATAGAGACGTTGGCTCGGGTGATTGCCTGAATTCTCCACCAACCCAGTGCTTCAAGATTGTGGACGGTTGGGTCTCCCACTTGTGGAAAGAGGTCCTGCCAGATTCGTCGCGAGGTGCATCCGAAGCCAAAAAGCGTTTCGTTTCCAATCTCATGGATTTGCAAGATAGGCTGCCAGTTTTGTCCTTTCTTAATCCGTGGCGCAACCTCGACCAAGCACGCGTTTTTGAGGGGAACCCTAGGAAGTCTCGAACCGACGTGACACGTTGTTTGCGGCCGGCTGAGTTCGTTGACACATCCACTCTTCAAGTGGTTGGTTTGATGGGATCAGGGTGCACCACATGACCCACTTCAACCTGGATGCATCCGTTGTCTTGTACAAGTTATTTTCTTTCTCTCTCTTTTTTTTAGGTTAGGGCCGAAATGGGGGGCGGGGTGGGGGAAGGGTGGGAGGGGGTAGGGGTGGGCTTTGTGGGAGGAGAAGTTGGGGGGGTGGAGGGGCCACACACCATTTTTAAGGAGCACAACCTCTTTAATAAAAAAAATACGTGTATTTTTAACCGACCATTCCGGATGACGTCATTCCCGACGGTTCTGTAGAGGATTGGATTGCATGGTGACCTGGTGACATGGGCTTGCGTGAGTCCCCTGGTTGACATCTGTCTTTGCGCTCGATGCCTCTCATGCGAGCCGCGATGCAAATGTCCGTTTCAAACCAGCGACACAAGTCAGCGGAGCATCTTCCCCACCCGCTATCCACGTTCGGCCCCTGGCTCCCCTAGACTTTCGCGCCGACACCACACCATCGCGGAGCCATCACCTTCCTCCTCCACCCTCGTGCGCAACCACCGCTGGTTGGAGTTTGCGGGCCAATCACGCGTGCTCTCACCTTTTCGTCGTCGTGTCAGCAACTTTCGCGCCGACCTGTTGGAGATGACCCTCTGAGGTGGGGTTGGGCCAACCAAAGGAAGCTAACCCCTATTGAAACGAGTCCGTGCCCCCCATCGCAGTTTAAAAGCGTGGAACTTCGCACTCAACGCGCGCAACTTCGATACCTGAACGCTCGTCCGAACCAAATCAACATCCACTGGAATCATTTTCCTCGCCAGGCCCGATACTGTCAAACCTACACCCTGGTTTTTCCCGACGCCTCGGACTAACCCAGGATTTTTCTCCATCTTCTCCATCTCGCAGAGTCCAGCCCAACCCCGAACCCTCTTCCCCGCCCCTTCCTCCCCCCTCCTCCTCCCCTCCTTCCCCTCCCCCCGCCTGATCTCCTTCCGCCATCCGTTCATCAGCTTCCATCCCAGAGACCCAAATCTTCCTAGCACAAACAATCCTCGAGCTGCTATAACAAACCCGTTCCCCACTTCATTTCGTTACCCAGCTTTTTTTGAGAGCGGTTCACCGCTCTTTCCTCCAGCTCTCTCGTAGCTCACCATCTCGCTCGTTACTACCTTCTAGCTTTGCCGAATTAATTCGCAAGGACCGTCTCTTCGACCATGGCTGATACGCGTCAAGTAGGATCGCTCTGGACTCCAGAGGTAGATTTCTATGAATCTGCAGAGTTTCCGAAGCTCATTTTTCCTCGTTAACGTACTTGGTGCTCGTTTCCGCTTGCCAAACTCACTAAAATAAACTCGAATCTGCTATTCGATTTTTGTTTCCGTGCAGGAAGACGTAATTCTTCTGCAGCACGTAGCTCGCTACGGCACCAAGCATTGGGGCTCTCTTCAATCCAGCTCAACCTTGCCTCACCGCGATCAGAAGGCGTGTTGTAACCGATTTATTCTTCTGAAGAGGTAATTTGACCATTAGGATCTTTCCAAATCCGACGATTCGTTCATCCTGTGAGCATAGACGTATCATCAACTCGCGCCGTCGCCCCGCAGGAAATTCTTCCAGGCTCGAGCCATCTTTCCTTACATCAACGTCAACTCCCAGCCTCAAAGCCCCTCGGCGACGGTGGCCTCGTCGATGCTTCACGCTCCCGCATCCCTCTCTTCCACGGAAATCGCTCTCCGCGTGAACGCCTCGTCTCGCGTAATCTCCAAGCGCGCCGCAGCGCCTTCGCTTTCGAAGCCTGCTGTCCTTCAGTCCGCTCTCACCACGTACGAAAAGAATCTATTCGTTCTTCCTTTCCTTTCCTTTTTTTTTGTCTTTTTTTTTCCAATTTTGCGGTGTTTACTTCAGCTCGCTCCCTTCCGCTCGTGATCTGATCGAGGTTTGGTTACATGTGTATTGGTCCACAATTCCGCAGTGTTAAAGATCAAGCCGCAAATGGCGGCGGCTCCGTGTGGATGCCGAACCTCGTCGACGCGCAGTGCTCTCCGGCTGTTTCAGATCCCTCGTCTCCTCTCAGCGCATCTCACGGCGTGCTGTCCGTCCAGCAGCAGCAGCAGCAACTGCAGCAGCTGCTCGTCACGATCGGCCAATCAGCGAACGCCGTGAGCCAAGCCGCGATGCAGTTCGTCAACGCCACGTCGTCCGTCAACCCTACTTCGTAAGCACAGGTCCCTCAGTCTTTCAGTCGCTTTCTTGTGCCCTTTCGTATTGGTTCCTGACAAACTCTTCATTCGTATTCTCATGGCAGATTTCCCGCCAGCCACGTCAGCCATCAGCAGGCTCAGTCCGCAGCTTCCAATTCCGGCGCGGGCCAGCAGAGCGCAGCAGACGCGGTGGTGAACATGATTCTGCGCAAACTCGCCGGCGACGCGTCTGGCTTCGCGAAGCATCCAGTCGCCAGCGCAGCGGCGGCCAGCCCCGCTTCGTCCAAATCGGACGTCTCCGTCGAGCCCGCCTCCGCTGCTGCTCCCTCCGCTCCCCTGCCCGACGCCTCGTCCCGCCCCTCGTCCGCCCCCCCTCGCCGTCCGACTCTCCTCTCCGCGCCGGAGCGCGGGCCGTCCGCCGTCGTGCCGTCATCCGCGGGCTCTGTCCCCGCGGACTCCGGCGCGAGTCTGCAGCAGTTGGTGCCGGGATCGTCGGAGGAGACGGAGAGCGACGACGACATGCTGCTGGCGTACCTGTACGCGCAGGGCCACGCGCACGCCACGGCGCCGGAGGTACATGGGAAGGAGACAAGGGCGGACGGCGCAGTGGGGGAGGTCGAGAAGCAACAGGAGCAGCAGGTGCAGCAGGTGCAGAGGCAGGGGGAGGTGATGGCAATGGATGGAGCAGCGGACATGTCGCTGCTGCTGCAGCTGCACGACGAGGTGATGGCTCTCGAGAAGCTCGTTGCTGCTGGCGCGTCCTCCGCGCCCGCTGCTGCTGCTTCGCCTAGCACCGACCTCATCGCAGCCCCTGCGTCAGCCCTGGCGCCCCTCCCTCCGCGCGCTGTGAACGCGTCCTTCTCCTGTGCTGCTGCGGCGTCGGTTGCAGCTGTCCCTCTCCCCAGGAGCACCTCCCAGCGCCCTGACGCGTTTCTGGAGCAGATGTCGAGTGCGCCCGCGCGTATGCTGTTTGGGTTCAGCCCTGTGTATGACCTCATGGCGCCTGGCGCTTCCTGGAACGCTCATGCTGCTGCTGCTGGTGCCGCTGCCATACCTGCTGCTGGTGATGCGGCTGGATGGGACTTGAAGGAGCTGATTGATGCGTGGGCGTTCAACCTTGGTGCCTCTGCTGCCTTCTTGGCGTGACATGTGTACAGAGTGGCACCCGCGCACATTCAAAGACTGCAAGTGTTGCCGCGGTGATGGTGGTGGTGCTGGAGGCAGTGGTTTCTTTGCTCTGCCCATTGCACCCAGTGGGGATTCGGCCACCATGTCCTTTGCTCTGCAGGAGCTTTCTTTGCAAGGGCGTCTGCTCTTGTTCCGCTCTTCTGCTCTCTTCGCTTTTGTTTTCCTCTCTTTGATGTCTGCAGTGTCTAGCCTTTTTTTGCCAGGGATAGCTGGCAGCTTAAGCAGTGGGGGAGGCAGGTGTTGCGGTGCAGCTTGCTCTGACGGCTTCTCGCCGTTTTTTTGCCGCAGAGGGTGAAGGCCCGCTGTGTGCATGCTGTTGCTGCTCCGTGCCCTGCCTCTCCCTGCTCTGTGTCCGTCAGTTTATGTTCCAGGCTCCTAGGAAGGCACTTTAGGCACTGCCTAGTCTGTGTGTTGCTTGGCAGACTGTATCATGTGTCTCTTGTCTTTTACATTGACTGAACCTTTTGTTTTGAATTCATGAATGTCATCAAGTGAACACTTCACTGGAGTAGCCTAGGCGAACAACATCAGAGAGGAGCATGCAGCTTTGTCCACCTTTGTCCATGTTGCCTCCTTCAGTACTACGCGTCCTCACAGCAACATGTCATGCCAAGGCCGCGAGAACAGCACGTTCCCCCGCTACTGCTGGTGCTCGCAGTGATTTGACGCTTCGTTGCACATTTCCCCCTCGGTTCTTTGTCCTGTCAAATTCTCTTCCATCCATCCTCGGCGTGTCTATCCTCTCGCCGCGTCTTGCCATGCACTGTCGCCCGTACCTCCACCGCACTTCACCGCTATATCCGTTGCCGTCGTCAGATCGCCAATCCTCGTCAAATCGCGAGTCGCAACCGCATATGCCACCAATTCGGAGAATCCAGTGGTGCCAGTCCGAGCAAACTAGGTGCGTG